ATTATTATTAATATAGTGTAATGAGGGAATCTGGGAAAAAGGCTGGAAATAAAATATTAAAATAAAAGTTATTTATCTCTTTTATTTACTTAATATTATTAGGGTTTCGTATTTGACTAATTAATTATTAATTATAACGTACAAATCGAAGTAAATAAAAAAAAAAAAAAAACTTTTCTGCTCAAAAATGTACTTTTAAATTAATAAAATAATAATAATAATAATATAGTGTAATGGAGGGAATCTGGGAAAAGGTTGGAAATAAAATATTAAAATATAAGGTATATTTATCTCTTCTATTTACTACTAATTATTATTAGGCTTTTTTAATAAAGACGACAAAAAGGCGTGCGAAAAGTTACGCAACACATGCCACGTGGCAGGCACGTGCGAAGCTCATCGTCGAAGCTGCCGGAAAAAAGGAATCTTCCAAATTATCAGAAACGGACAAAAGTGACTTTTTTCCACAGTTTATCGCGCCTTCACATCCGCTGTGGGGCCCACATGAAGATTTGATTTGGTTTAGGTCAAATGCTCGAAATTTCATGAATTTTGCTTGTAATTTAAGTAAAAAGTTTTAATTTTTTAGATACTACTTCAAATTAAGCATTTTATTATTATTATCATTATTATTATTATTATTATTATTATTATTATTATTACAAATTGTTTATTCCTATTACTATGATTTGGGCTAGACATTTATTTAATAGTCAAACAAATCTGTTGACGAGTGTTTTCGGTCAACGGTTAAGATTAAGTGAATGAAAAGTACAGGACTGAGAATGAGGCCAGGATAAGGTTTAATTATAGGTTTTTATTAAACGATCACGTGGTCGGCCTCTCGTACGAGGTCGGCTCCTGTGATATTCTTACAGTTCTTACAATCCTTACAATATTAGAGAGAGAAAGTAAAGGAAAGCTTGAGTTAGTTGTGAATTCAACAACCCCAAAATAAATGAGGTGGGCTGCTATTTATAGTACTCTTAAATGAGGAACTGTTCACCGGTCTTGTCGTACAGTAGACTTGCAGAGCAGTTCGGCGCCTCCCTGACAGTTCATTAATGCGATTTGAGGTTTTCCCAATCATTGCTTGCTAAGCATTAAATGCTGGCATGGGCAGCATTTAATGCTGACTGAACGACTGTGACATGCTGTCCCATCAACGAATGATGATCTCCCAAGTGGCGAATATTTAATGACGATCAGATCGGCGCTATTCTCTAGCAGGGCGGCTCTGGCCTGTTAAGGTCGGCTCTTTCTCTTCGAAAGCACGCGTGTCCCAGGCCGAACTTCCTTCCAGCTCGGCCCCGGGGAGAGACCGGCTCGGCCCCCACGGATTCAGGTGCCGAGCTCGGGAAGCGTTTCCTTCGACCCGTCCTACACATAATTTATCGATTCGGGTCGGCCCCCGCGAGTTCGGTCCCGCTCGGTTCGGGGGGGCCGACCTACTCGATCTTGGCCTGACCGATCCGGATGTCAACAAAATCCAAATCATTAATTTGGATATTTAATGGACGTGTCAGATCTAAAGTCACCCATGTATAAATTAGTCATCTCTGTGCAATTATTATCCCATCACTTTTATGCTACGTTAAGGATTGTGGGAGAAACTAGTTTAGATCTAATAATCGATCCAACTTCGTGCGATCATCAAGATCAAGATCACAACTTATGCCGTATTCCATTGTTACATTATTATATTGTTTATTATTTATGTATTTATTTATTGAGAAAACTTGTCCACCACTTTACGTTTTGACCGTGCTTTGCTTTT